TCTCTGGGATAAAGTTGTGGACAGGCACAAGTCAGGAGATGGATACAAAAAAGGCTTTATCAATGCCAGTGAAGTCTTAATTAACTGGATGAAAGAACCAATAGGAAACTGGTCTGAGAGGCTACCGAGATGCTACAGCAACTCTGAAGCAGTTGCGGGAATTTATGACAAAGAGTGGTCATTGTGTGAATGTGACAACAATATCATAAATTCTCCACAAATGTGGCTTGCATGAGAGGACAGCAAAAAAAAAAAAAAAAAAAAAATTTTTTAAAATCCTCAAGAAAGACTACATGCACGCACGACTGAGCTTTGCCAAAAACGCACCTTGAAGATTCTGAGGCCACATGGAAAAAGGTATTTTGATCAAATGAGACAAGAAAAAAAAAAAAAAAAGTAAAATATTTGGCCTCAACACTAAACAATATTTCTGGTGGAAATCCAAATACAGCTCACCATCCAAATAACACCATTCCTACAGTAAAGCATGAAGGTGGTAATATCCTGTTATGGGGTGTTTCTCTGCAACAGGGACTGGATCACTTGTCAGGACAGAAGAAAAGATAGATGGGACAAAATACCATCATATTCTTGAGCCCTCTGCCAGAATGTGGTCAATGGGAAGAAGGTTTACCTTCCAACATGACAATGACCCAAAGCACACAGCAGAAATGACCAGTGGTTGAAGGAGAAAATGGTGAATGTCCTTGTGTGGTCTAGTCAGAGCTTAGACTTAAACCCCATTGAAAAATCTGTGGAATGACTTAAAGACTGCAGTCCACAAATGGTCACCCTCAAATTTAACCGAACTTGAGCAGTTCTGCAAAAAGAGTGGGAAATATTGCAAAGTCTAATTGTGAAAAGTTAGTAGAAACATATCCTAACAGACTAAAGGCTGTAATTAAAGCAAAAGGCGGTTCAACAAAATACTGACACACAAGGAGGTGATCCTTTTTCTAACTCAGCAATTTTGTTTTTTAATGGTTTACATTTTTTTCTGACATGTTGGTGTTATGTCTTTCACTTGGATATTATAAGTTGCACTGAGTAAATAATGCTGGATAAAACAAAAACTGGTGTCGGTCTTCATTTCAGGCTGCAAAGCAACAAAATGTGCTTATTTTTAAAAGGGGGTTATTCTTTTCTATACCCGATGTAGTTTATTTTCTGAAAGCAAAGGCCCCAGAAAATAATTTGGTGGCAGTTCTAATTTTTATATGTCCCATGATATTAGTGCAATGGTTTATCAAATGCATATTTTCAGTAAAATACATGATTAAATTTTAGTGCACACAAAACGTAATATATTACCCACTTTTTTTTTAAATATAAAAGATGAGCTTTTGCGGATTAAATAGATACACAGCATGTCAAGCCTTAAAACTGCATACACCTGTAAATTGGTGACTAACCTCGATACATAATTTTGTCCACTGGCGATACTCTAGCATTTGTATGATGATGCATCTTCCCCCCCTCATGCCAAAAGTAGCCAAGAATAAGAGACACACACACACACTCTCTAAGAGGCCTCTACCCAGAAGTAGCATGCAAGTCAACTCACAACAATTTTCTCAGCATTTATTTAGTTGATAAAATATTCTATTTAGGTAATTTTGGTCAAATATGATGTAAAAGAATCATGATAAACTCAAACAGTGCCATAGACAAAATGTTGGTATTTACCCTCCCAGTTTTCTGAACATTGGGAGATCCCTTTAAAACAGAATAAGATATTGTACTCACCATAAAATCCTTTTCTTGGAGTCCATTGAGGGACAAATAAATTCTTAGACTGCTGGATTATACTGCTGCCAATAGGAGAAGTGGACACTAGCAACAAAAGAAAGTAATTGCCCAGCACAGAGCAACCTCATCCATAACAATCAAACTTCATTTTTGTTGCATAGTAGTCCTGAGAGCATTAAAAAAAAATAAACAAAAACAGAAAAGACAGGATTGTGTCCCTGAATGCATTCCAAGAAAAAGGACTTTACAGTGAGTACAAAAATCCTATTTTCTTTCTTGCCCATTGAGAGACACAGAACTTTTTTAGAACTCTTACGGACCATACACACACACACACGATAAGAAAAATCGTACAAAAAAATTCCATGCGAGGAACAGTCGGATGATTATCTGATCATTAGTATCGTGCTTTTGACAGCCGATTCCAACTGTTCAGATGACAAGGTGCAAGGTAGAAAATGTATGTTACACAACATCTGATTTTCGTTTAATTTGTACAGTAATTGTACAGAAATAAAATGAAAAGAAAAAACTTGTATGATCAGAAGCAAAAGAAAAACCCTACACTTCCTCTTCCACTACACTAGTAAGTAGTTATGTTTGCCTTTGTTTTACAGCCAATTTGCTGTCCTTTACACTTTTGAGGGCTGTGGCCAATGGGAGTAGGAAATGCCCCAGCATCAGTGGGGGTAGACAGTGTCTCAAGCTTGGTGGTAAATGGGAGTAAAACAATTACATAGTACCTGTGGCCAGTAGGAGGAATAATGCCCCATCATTATTGTCAGGGGAAGAGTAGAAGGAATGGTTCCCTATCATTGATGTCAGTGGAAGGAATAGTGTCCCATTGTTGGCAACAGTGAGAGGAATTATGCCACACTGTTGGTGTCAGTGAAAGGAATGGTGCCAGTAAGGATAATGCCTCATATCAGGGTGAAAAATAGTCCCCAAAGGGCCAGACAAAAGGCAAGCAAAGGCCACATTTGGCCTGCGGGCCACAGTTTGGAGACCACTGCTTAAGACCTTAAGTCTGGATGGTGGTCTTCTTGAGCCACTTAAAGAGGATGGGGAGAAAAGCTGATGTACCATCATGGGGTCCATCCAGAATATAAAAGGAATCAATCAGCAGTGGCTGATTCATACAGCCTATAACAACCCAAACCATACCTAGACAATGGGTAAAATTTTATATTGATGAACTGGTGTCAGAGAGAGGCAACAATGTTCTGGTTGAGGTTAAAAGGCAAAAACTACCTTGAGCAAAAAGGAACTCCTGGGCCTCACCACCACCTTGTCCTTCTGAAAGCCAAGAATGTATTACTGGCAAGGCAAAGCCACCAGACTTAGATTGCACCCAGTCACAGGGAACAAACAGGGGAAGCGGTATTGGAGACTCCCCGTACAAATATTAAACTTAATGAGTGAAAGACCAATAGTCTATGAAACAAGATTTTCTGGACAGAAACCTGGCCCTTGGAAGTGTTGGGAGCCAAACGTTGGTACAAACTAGCTGCAGAAAGGAGAAGCTTCGTCCCACAAAGAAACTCCTACAGTTGAAGTTCTAAGACGCAAAACAAGTGAAGTATGCCTTCCCTGTCCTATGATAAACCTTATAGTAAGTAGCTTTCATAGCTGTTGGCATTGTAGGAAACAAGTTCACAAATGCCCGTGACACAAAAACCAAGGCCTTACCAGCCATGCCATTAAAACCAGCGACCATGAAGTAGGAAGGCAAAATGGTTCTCAAGACAGTAGATCCTGAAGATCTGCAGAGCCCACTGAGCATTTGTCAGAAGGCTTACCAGGACAGTATACCACATCCATCTTGGACAGTCCTTGGCAAAGGGCATCACTAGAATTCCCTCTACCTCAATCCTGAAAAAACAGGTTGGAAGACGTTTAAAGGGCATAGAAAGTGTTGATCAGGGTGTACTTATCCCACCAAGTCAATGCTGCATTAACTGCTTCTGCTAGAGGATCCCTGTACCTGGAAACAAACCTGACCAGTTTTTTGTTCAGCCTGGAGTCCACAACTGGCATCCTCTACCTGCAACACCTGTAACACCTCCAGGCAAAGGGATCACGCTCTGAGATTAGGCTCTGCCAGCTTATTGAGTCCTCCTGCTAGTCTGGTGAACCCCACTTTAGTTCACCAGAGAAAGACATGAAAGCCTAACTAAAACAGACTAAAGGTTAGGATCCAAACTAATACACCACTGCTCAGATGTACTACAATACCAAATTCAATGAGGAGGCCATAACAGGTCTCTGGCCAGTACCACAGTCACTAAAGAATACATAGTGGCTACAGAGAAAGCTGGAAATAAATGCACTGATTGCTCAAAGCAATGGGGTATGCTGGGCTGCAGAGGAAAAATTGCACTCAATATTCTACAACATTAGTAAATTAACCTAAGAATTTAAATCTAAACTCTTGAATAATATATAACTGTAGGAGACATTGGAATTAAAAAATCTACCAAGCTTAACAATTGTTAGAGGAGGCACTATTGCCTTGTGTGTATGCAGCTTCCAGCAGGGGGCACTATAGGTATGAATAGAAAGGAGCTGCCTGTCACATTGTAGACCTACAAAACAACTAGATATCAGCAACAGCACCAAACTGCATTATTCTTTACAATCCTAGATAGCTCCTCACAGCTGCCCTCCCTCCTACATTTGTCTTCCCGTAAAGTACATAAAAGGTATAAGCAAGCACAGGATACTACTCCTGCATCTGTGGACATGCGTATACACGTATGTCGGATACAGATATAGGAAAAAACATAGGGCAATTTTAAGCAAGTAATTACTGATCATTACGCAGGAACTTGTTTCCAAGCATGTGCGGTCTTGGTCTTGTTTTTTTACGGACGGACACTGCACTGATTAAAATGAAAATCAACTGTTCTGTTATCTTACCAGAACATTTTTGTACATGTCCGTTTGGATAGTTTGGCATGAATTGTCGTGATTGGCTCTTGAACACTGCGTACTATTGATCAGATTATCAGACAAAATCGCTCCGAAAATGTCTTCTTTGTCCGATTTTCTCATTGTGTGTACTAGGCAAAACAATACACGCATTTATTGTTCACAACATATATTTTTTACCACAATATTTCATCTAGCACTATACATTTTCAAGAGAAGCACAATGCTTGGAATTTTGTAATATGCAAGTTAATGAGACCACAGATAAAAACAACAAACATATTAAACCTGAATCAGACTTTGGTGTAAAAAATAAGTACCTGTGTTTCCCTTCTCATCTTCTCGAATGTGAATATCTTTTACATTGGTTTCAAGTTCCAGAAGGTCCCTCAGATCTTCTTTGTAAACTTCTATATAAGACACTGTAACGTTAAAGTCAGTGTTATGGTTTTCAGAGATTATCTGGAAGAGCTCTTGAATGGCACGTGGAATTATACCCTTTTCTTCGTCAGCAACAGAAGCTTGCAAACAAAACACAGTTACAGTTATTTGAAGAAACTGCACATTGCTTTTGACATAGATAGTTTTATCTGCAGAGACAACTATTGTGTAACATCTTTTTAAATTTCTATGGAAAATATAACTGCAAATACTTTTCCATATCTAAACAGCTTAAAAAATTAAAAAGACTAGTTAAAGATATACCTAGTTAAAAGATATTTACAAGATATTTCATTACAGTGATACAAACAGCAATTACTGTATCTAAAAAGTTTAAATCTGGGTTTTTTTTTTTCTTCTTTTGGAGAAAAAAAAAAAAGGGCGCAGCTATTGCTGCAAACCTCCCCTTTGATCCAGAACTGCTCCACTGGACTTCTTTTCTACCACAAGAGTGAGAGATGGGCGATAAGCCCTGCCATTGGACCTGAAAGTGCAGCAACTCATAGCAACCAATATTGTGAAGTGCTTGTGAACAGACGGACCTTAAAAAGGGAAAATCTGATTAGGGTATTATTATTATTATACAAGATTTATACAGCGCCAACAGTTTGCTCAGCGCTTTACAATATGACAGGAGACAAAACAGCAACAATACAGTTCAATACAAGAGGGTTAGGAGGGCCCTGCTCCTTGGAGCTTACAATATGATAGGCCAGAGCAATTTACACTTTATTACCGGAAAGGAAACCTTTTACAGAACAAAAGAAAAACCGCACAGAGAATATTTTAGCTTTAATGGTGAAAGTTCTTATACTGTAAGTAACACCTATGGTAATTTTGGTTGAAAGCTGGTTATAACTAACTGTCTGAAAACTTCCTTGGGAACGGCCATTAATCTGCTTGTAGTTTAGCCTAACCTTTTTTTAACCAGGGTGCCCAAGCAGTCTGGGGTGCCTTCAGGTGTCTTCAGGGGCGACTTGGAAAAATGTCTAAAAATTGCCAAAAATTGTAAACAAAGTAGCAGGTGGATCAAGCCTGGCCTTTAATTACACAAAGTCACAGGTTTTCATTGGGCACCATTACAACCTTCTAGCCATTGACAACCAAACAATGACAGCATCAATTGATATGGAGGACGTTGGGCGCCTGCACAGTATCCTTGTTTGCCCCTCCCGTGCTCCTCTCTGTCCACACTGGGGTCACATTAGGTGAGCGAGGGAGAGAAACTGAGGGAGAAGAGAAATGGAATACTAGTAAGTACCATTGTGCAAAGGTGTGTTTGCTTTCTAAGACTAAGTCACCTGTAATGTTGCTGCATTATTATTTCAGGAGCCTATATAGCGCTGTCAATTTACACAGCACTTTACATATATATTGTCCCTAACCTTCAAGGGGTGTACAATCTAAGGTCCCTAACTTAGGTTCATACAAACACATACTAGGGCCAATTTAGGCAGGAGCCAATTAACCTATCCGCATGTCTTTGGAAAGTAGGAGGAAACCAGACCACCTGGAGGAAACCCACGCAGGCACAGGGAGAACATGCAAACTCCAGACAGGTGGTGCCATGGTTGGGATTTGAACCAACGACCCTAGTATTGACAGGTGAAAGTGCAAACCATTTATTTAATCACTGTGCTGCCCATTATGGAAAACTATTTGTTTTAGTTTTCTACATTTTAGAATAGGGTGCCTCAAGATTGTGCAGAATTTTAAAGAGTGCCTTGACTGAAAAAAGGTTGAGAAAAACTAGTTTGGACTACCACCTTTTTGGTTTTAAACCCCTCTCTGCTGCTGATATATGCCACATGTTGGTGGCAGTAGGTCAGTAATAGGAAGACCACCAACTCCAAATGTTGTAGGAGGTACTAGAGGAAACAAACACTGCTGGATTAAAGTCCATCTCTGAGATCAAAAAAAAAGTCTAAATGCCCTCTTTAGTTACCAAAGCCATGATCACAAGATGCTCCAGTTGCAAGCTTTTTCTATTCCTCTACTTCCTATGCGGCTTTTCACATTGCCCAAGTTACACAGACACTACCTATTACTGTACAGTGGCAGGATCCTCTTAGGATACGCACGAGGAGACCAGCCAGCAAGGGACCATCTGCTTCACAGAATTATTGGCCCCCACAACTGTAAATCGGCCCCTGGTGAACAACCTAGGTAGCAGACTTACAGTCAGGTCCACAAATATTGGGACAGCGACACAATTCTAACATTTTTGGCTCTATAAACCACCACAATAGATTTGAAATGAAACAAACAAGATGTGCTTTAACTGCAGACTGTCAGCTTTAATTTGAGGGTATTTACATCCAAGTCAGGTGAACGGTGTAGGAATTACAACAGTTTGCATATGTGCCTCCCTTGTTAAGGGACCAAAAGTAATGGGACAATTGGCTTCTCAGCTGTTCCATGGCCAGGTGTGTGTGTTATTCCCTCATTATCCCAATTACAATGAGCAGATAAAAGGTCCAGAGTTCATTTCAAGTGTGCTATTTGGATCTCATCTTGAGAGTTGACAGCAACAGATGTCACTATCAGTGAAGCAAGCCATCATTAGGCTGAAAAAAAACAAAACAAACCCATCAGAGAGATAGCAAAAACATTAGGCGCGGCCAAAGCAACTGTTTGGAACATTCTTAAAAAGAAGGAACGCACCAGTGAGCTCAGCAACACCAAAAGACCCGGAAGACCACGGAAAACAACTGTGGTGGATGACCGAAGAATTCTTTCCCTGGTGAAGAAAACACCCTTCACAACAGTTGGCCAGATCAAGAACACTCTCCAGGAGGTAGGTGTATGTGTGTCAAAGTCAACAATCAAGAGAAGACTTCACCAGAGTGAATACAGAGGGTTCACCACAAGATGTAAACCATTGGTGAGCCTCAAAAACAGGAAGGCCAGATTAGAGTTTGCCAAACGACATCTAAAAAAGCCTTCACAGTTCTGGAACAACATCCTATGGACAGATGAGACCAAGATCAACTTGTACCAGAGTGATCTCATCAGTGATCTCATCAGTGAAGCATGGTGGTAGTAGTGTCATGGTGTGGGCATGTATGGCTGCCAATGGAACTGGTTCTCTTGTATTTATTGATGATGTGACTGCTGACAAAAGCAGCAGGATGAATTCTGAAGTGTTTCGGGCAATATTATCTGCTCATATTCAGCCAAATGCTTCACAACTCATTGGACGCCGCTTCACAGTGCAGATGGACAATGACCCAAAGCATATTGCAAAAGCAACCAAAGAGTTTTTTAAGGGAAAGAAGTGGAATGTTATGCAATGGCCAAGTCAATCACCTGACCTGAATCCGATGGAGCATGCATTTCACTTGCTGAAGACAAAACTGAAGGGAAAATGCCCCAAGAACAAGCAGGAACTGAAGACAGTTGCAGCAGGCGCCTGGCAGAGCATCACCAGGGATGAAACCCAGTGTCTGGTGATGTCTATGCGTTCCAGACTTCAGGCTGTAATTGACTGCAAAGGATTTGCAACCAAGTATTAAAAAGTGAAAGTTTGATTTATGATTATTATTCTGGTCCATTACTTTTGGTCTCATAACAAGTGGGAGGCACATATGCAAACTGTTGTAATTCCTACACCGTTCACCTGATTTGGATGTAAATACCCTCAAATTAAAGCCGACAGTCTGCAGTTAAAGCTCATCTTGTTTGTTTCATTTCAAATCCATTGTGGTGGTGTATAGAGCCAAAAATGTTAGAATTGTGTCGCTGTCCCAATATTTATGGACCTGACTGTATGTGAGCAGAGCATACAGTATTTTGCTTCACTAGATAAGAAACAAAAAAAAAACAAAAAACAAAAAAACAAAAAAAAAAAAAAACAAAAAAAAAAAAAACAACACCTTGCAGAATGGATTACAAGGGGGTGGTAGGGGGTTTATATAAACCAACTTTATTGTACACTAAAACTGCAAAGTGGGGTAACCATATAAGTCACACTGGGGTAAGTACGGTATTAAAGTGTTCACAGGACCACAGAACTTAAGACCTAGGAGCCAAATGGCAAACAAGGATCAAGGAGAAAAGGTATTTTCTGTCACGGCATTCAGGAAAAGACAACATTACATATATAAAAAAGGTAAGGAACTGCAAAACTAGCAAAAAGGACAGAACCCTCTGGGTGGTGTTCTTCAGCACAGGTGTGTGGCTGGTCAAGCCACCCGTCCTATATGTTTTTATTGTATTTCGATGGGCAGCTCCTATGAGGATAAACCAATTTTTTATGTAGGAGTGTAGAATTGGCCTCGATTGCCAGATGTGAAAAGTGGTATGGGGAGCAGCCTGCAATGGCGCACAATTAGCTCCTGGGCACTGAATACACTGAAGAGCGTTTCAGATAGGAAAATATTGAAGAAAAAAAAAAAATTAATATGAGTCTGGGTCTAAAAAAAAGGCCTAACATACAAGGTTAGGGTCTAATTGGAGCAGAGAGCCAATCAGATCATGCAGGAATGTAATGATTTGCGCGCAATAGGCCTGTATCATCAGACAGGTCCAAAGTAGATGAAAAAAAAGGTACCTGCTGCATCCAAACATTTGGGCAATGGACTGTAGTATGGGCTGTATCTAGACACTCAAAGTGGAGTGTTATACACTCTATGCATAATGTATAGTTGTGCGAGTCTATCCATCAACCTGGGTGAAACTAGTTTGGTGCCTTCCAGCACCTCATCCCAATTCCACATTGTTCCAACTGCCGACTCCCAATGAGATTTGGCTTGGTGGGCTGCAGTAAGTACCAAAGTAAATACAGAGAGAGGACCCCCTAACCATGATAGCATCTACAAGAGATATGGTCTGCAGGGTAGGGACTGTACCTGAGAACTGGGCCCTGGGAATGGCAGAGCTGTAGATATCTAAATAACATATGGTTAGGAAAATCAAATTCCACTTGGAATGTCCAAGGGCCTGCAGGCATAAGTACCTGGTAAATGTAGAGGACCCCCCCCGCTCACTGGATATTTTCTCTTTTTCAGACCATTCTGTGTAAACCCTAGAGATGGGTGTCTGTGAAAATCCCAGTAGATCAGCAGTTTTTAAAATACTCA